AAATTATGTGTTTGAAAATGAATCCTTATCATTATCCCCAACACATAAGTTCGTTGAAGTTGCCCAGCATGATAACATGACAACATCCTCCCAGCTAATCTTAAGCAGCAGCTACTTGGACAACTTTCCGTTAAGCTATCTCATTCAGTTCTTAGAACAAGGAGGCTTAGGGGAGAAAGCAGAACTCCAGGGCCAAAGGAATGCAAGGTCACCTCTTCTTTCTCTTTACCCATCAGCACAGGTTTAAGGGTCAAGGAGAAGGAAGAAAGAATCCCGAATTTATCTACAGAAAGGGTTGAGTTGAGAAAAACTTAAAAACTGTGCCCAATGGCACAGTCAATTAGCATGATAAAAGAGAAGTGTAATTGGCACTTTCACAACATGTGTTAATTCAAACTCTGCCTAGCTTTTAAAAAAGATACTTAAGAAAGTATTTGTGTCAACACTGTAGGTAGGTACCATGAAAACTAAATGAAAAAGGTGAAAAACACTGAGGTTATGAGAAGTGAAGGACATTATTGGGGTAAAACCAGTATTAGAGGTCACGTTGGCATTATGTGACTCCTACCATGGGCATCCATGCTCTCTCCATTACAGACATGTGATTTTCTATGAAGAGAGAGAAATAAGTGCTATTCAGTTCTCGAGGAAATAAAACGCTCTGGGAAAATTAAGACAGACATGAACTCATCAGAACTTGAATGAAAATTGTCTTGTCACCCCATTTATGATATATTGTTCATCACTTACAAATAAAAACACCCAAGAGAACATGTAAGCTTGGTAACTGAATAGCCATATATGATATTTACCTGGGATATTTATTTAATGCCTCTCCACCTACTCCACACTTATAGCTTCATAAATCTCCACAACCAGGCCACCATTTTGTAAGCAGCAATAAATTACTCATGGTCTCATGGAGCTCATTTAGTATTTACACTATTTCTCCCATAAAGTTCAACGTATTGACTGAAATACGAAAATCATCTCGCTTTTCCTTCCAAGCATAATTCTTGCGAATTGAATCAAGGAGTCGGGAAAGATAGTTGGAACCAGAAAACAAAATAATATCAATTACTAATATTTCCCATTTTCTGTTCAGGCTGGTCTTATCTGAAGCTTGTAAAGTCATTTAATCTTTTCCATCATCTCAGAGGAAAAAGAGCTCGGAAAATCCTAGTCATCCCACAATAACTATCAGTGGGATTTTCCGTAACTATCTGGATACAGAATGAAAATCTCTTAAGAAGTTGATCCAATTCTAAAACTTACTTCTCAACTTACTAATAAATACAAAGAGACAACCTATCCATATTTTCTTTCAAATAACATCTGGTTTCTTGGCCAGACTGCTGATACCATAAAAAAAATTTTTTTTGAGTGTGTTCCAACAAATCTACATTTAGAGTTCAAGATGCATTTATGCACCAAACATTATTTTCTACATCTGACTTAGAGCTAGCAATGAGACTGTAAGATAGAATCTTGCCAAGACCTTGGAAAGAAGAGGAAAAAGATTGGCTTCCACAAGCTAAACCATGAAACCTGCACTTAATAGAGGAGGGTAGAGAAATGAAGAATCATCACCAGGTGACACAAAGGCATTCAGGAGAACAAAATTAGGCCATGACCTCACTAAAGGTGTAACCTACACATCAAAGACCCTTTAATCAATCACAGAATCATAGTAAAAGGAGAGCTGCTAGTACAGTCTGGGGCAGTACCCATTATGCTCTTTTCAGAAGGGAAGGATTATGGGCCTGCACAGTGTGAATAACAGAATCATTGACAATGACTCAGTTGTGAAGATGAGAGCATCACTTAGTAGTCACCTAGTTACCACTAAACACTGCTCTGGGCTGGCTTTATCTTGTTCATCACAGAGAAGCCAAATAGCACAATGGGTAATCATCAGGTGTTTTTTAATGTATTTGCCCACAACTTCTGTATTATAATCTGGTTCCCCACACAGTTTTGTCTACAGGAGACAAGGACCTAGTTTTGTGGATTTGAGAATGCTGGTCCTCCTGCCAACTGCAACTAACTGCAATATAACATAGCACTTGAGTCCACATGTCCTGAGGCTGTTCCCGGATGAACATCCCCTGTGTGTACTGCTGGATTGAGTTTCTGAGTCCACAGGGCTGGTGTCAAGTCTCTGGAACATGGGAAATTCACTAGAATGATGATATCAGCAGTGGTGGTGTTGATGGTAGAGAGGCGACAGACTATGGTCACAAGCTAAGTGTCTTCAATGTACTATCAGATACTGGGCCATCATTTAACCCCCACAGTAATCTAACAAATTAGCTATTCTAAGTATTTGCATTTTGTGAAAGAGGAAACTTACCTAAAGACCCACATTCAGAAACTAGGTTCAGCCCTACGTTTCTCTGGCTTTAAAGTCAAATTTCTTAAACTGTAAAAAAATACTGTTTGAGGGGATGAGACTTCATCTGTCTCCTGCCCACACTCTATCCCATCAGGAGTGAGCACTGGGCCATGCCAGCCCCTGTGCCAGGACTACTCACCAACACACTACTATGGTACCAGCCTTCACATCACTACACAGAACCAGAAGCACAGAAAGGCAGCTCCTGTCTCAAGGATCAACCATCCACTCTACATCAATACAGTTGGGCCAAAAACAGAGGCCTCCCTACTCTTCCCTCTCCCTTCCCTCCCTTGCCAACATTGGATCATTTGTACATCCTTCAATAAAACCTCCCAATCCATCCATTCACCCATGTCTCCCTACCCCACTGCCACTACCTATCTGGTCCCCTGAATCTTTATAAAACACTCTGCTTCTGTCTTTGTCTCTTCATAATCCCTCCACTGCTACTGTTTAGGCCACATTGGAATTATGCCCTAGGCTTCATCCCTAATAGTGACTGACCTGCGAACCTAGGAGTAAACCCAGCCTTTTGAGTCCCCATACAATGACACATGAGATCTAGATCACATCCATGATGTGTGACAGTCTTTCTTTCACATGCATCCTCATTAGCTTGTACAGGTGCTGTGAGCTCACTCACACCTCACCTGCCCTCAGGAAGTCTGGGATAGGTGCCCCAGATCACAACGCACTGTGCTACACAATGATTTCTCATTTGTGTGACTTCACTCCCAGATGACCACCTCCCAGAAAGCCAGGCCTCACTCTACTGACATATAACAAACTCTTGCTGAATGAGTGAATGTGAGCCTGCTAGATCATAAATGTCAGAATGCAGCCAGGCCTGGAGACAAAGGCCTCAAATCCCAGTACTCTGGGCATCTGAGGCAGGAGGATCTAAATTCAATCCCAGCCTGAAAAACTTAGCAATTTAAAAAGATCCTGTCTTAAAGAAAAATAAAGGGCTTGGGATGTAGCCCAGTGCAAAGGCCATGGGTTCAATTCCTAGTACCAGAAAAACAGATAAACAAACAAACAAACAATTCAGCCGGTTTCTTCAAATCTCAGTCTCAGCTGTGAAATAGTGAGAAATTTTTTTAGTCTCCCTGGACCTCAGAGTCTTTGTAAAATGGAGATTATAAAACCAACTGTTAGGCTGTTGAGAGATTTAAACAAAACCATATCTATATGCACTCAAGTATTAGTTACCATTTTTATGTCCTTTAAGAAGATCCAACCCGAAACATTCACATGAGGTCTCCAGAGGCTTTACATTCATTAGTCTGCCATAAAGTCTGCTGTCCCAGGCCTCCAGGGGCCATGTACAGTCGCCCCTAGGTATTGAAGGAGTACGGTTCCAGAACCCACAAGGATCTGGACCCAAATCTCTGGATGCTCAAGCCACTTAAATAAAATCACACAGTATTTGCATCTGAACTGCATCCATCCTCCCAAGTAGTTTAAAGCATGTCTGGATTGCTTCTCATCCTTAATGCAATGTAAATGCTACTCAAATAGATGTTCTACTGTATTAGGAATTAATGACAAGGAAAATGTTCCCTTCAGACCCTTCCCTTTCCAAATAATCTGAGGTTGGTTGGATCCTCAAATGCAGAACCTAGGAACACAGAAGGCCTCCTGATACATTTCACACAAGCAGTATCTTGCACCCTGAATCTATTGCTTGGAATTTTCTAGTCTTGCCATACTTTCCTCAAGGCCCCTAAGCCTTCACCAAATGCTTTTAGACAAAATGGGTTTCTCAAGGTTTGTTTTGTTGCAGAAAATAATGCACTTTTGTTACTGATCTTATTGCCCACCTGGGACCTTCACAGAGGCCAGTGTGACCCTGCCTCTGCCAAGGACCTGGTGGTAGCAGAAGGATGGCTGGCAGACAGGTGGCGATCCCAAATTAGAAATCAGGTCTTAAAGGGGGCGGAGCCAAGAGGACATCTTAGAAAATACATCCTCTGTTATGAAAATGTGAATGATCTGACCGTGGTAAAAATACATCCATGTATGCATTATAGTATCACTCTCTATGGGATTCTGTACAGTCATTAAGAACAAATAGGGGTCAACTAAAGAAACGGCAAATAACATATAAAAGAAAGGTTAATAAAAATGTACGGATAATAGTGTATGCTTTCTGACAGTATGTAAAACTAGCTTAAAAAAATTTAAGAGACTATAAACCAAAATTTTAATAGTTACAACAGGGTGAAGTGGCTGATTTTTAAAATATCAGTTCCCCATGCATTCCCTTACAAACTAGATATTTCTTTATAAAATAATCCTTTTAAATGTAATATTAAAAAAATAGTCTGTTCTGCCCATGTCCCTCTAGATGGCTACGGGAAGGAATGAACTAGTTAGTGCCTCTGACAGGCCCAAGGTAGGCGGAGCGCTCCAGCGCAACTGGCCTGACTCAGCAGCAAGCCAGGTCCAGGCCAGGGTGAACTTGAGCTCGGTGGGGGAGGGGGTGGTCTCCCAGCAGCACGGTCCTGCATTTGCAGGGTCCTGCTTCACCTTCCTCCTGCTTTCTTGGCACTTCAGGCCCAGCCCCCCACCGCCCTCTCACTCTGGGGTCCCCACGTACCTCTTGCAAGGGATAAGAGCCTTCTTCTCGTCCAGCACCCGCAAGCGCTGGTTGGGGCCGTCATAGGACAGCAGCGCCCGGCTGTTGTGCCCACTGCTCTGCAGGAAAAGGACCTGGCGTCCCTCCCACTGCTGCGGGGCCTGGCAGGGGCGCGGCGTTTCCGGGAACCCAGCAGTGCACAGCCTGCCCAGCGCGCAGACCCAGAGCCAGGCGGCCAGGGTAAGCGGGGCGGGCGGCAGGGGTCCCCGTTCTGAGACCGGTCCGAGGTGTCCCCACTCCTGGGCCTCTCAGGCTGCTGAGATCGCGACGCGGGGCCAGGCCAAGGAGTGAGGTATGCAGACAACCGCGAGCAGCTGCTCCTGCCTCGGCCTCCTCCTCCTGTCGCCGCTGCTTCCTCGGCTCACTGCTGCCAACAGGAAACGCAGTGGCGGCTGTGCCACCGACATCCTGGAGGGCACCGCGATTTAAGGGGGCAGGGAGCGGGAAGGCGCCGCGAGGGAAATTTTCCTCCATGCAATGCACAGGGGCGATTTCAAGATCGTCACGATGAGGAAGGCTGCACTGCATGTAACTTGCTCCTTGGAAAAACTGCAAACTCTTTCCAAATTAAACAGGAAAGACTGGTCTTTTCCGGAAGAAATGATACTTACTCATGATGGTCCTTGCAACAGGCCTGGGATTCAGGGACTTTGTCTCAAGGTCTCAGAGCAGCAAGGCTGCTCCTCTTCCCCACCAACTGGCAAGGCCTGGAGGGTGGAGGTCCCTACACCTGGGGGCTCTGCATCTTGAAGAAAGAATTCTTCCGCCAGGCTGTGGTGTGCTCCTGTAACCGCAGCCTTCCAGGAGGTGAGGCAGGAAGATCAGAATCAGGAATTCAAACGCAGCCCGGGCAATTTAGCAATATATGAAGAGCCTATCTCAAAATAAAAAATAAAAAGGGACGGGGGTATAACTCAGTGTGAAAAGCCTGGGTTCGATCCCCAGTACCCCCAAAACAAATATGTTAATTGTATTTATATTTAAGTAATGTTTGGCTCTATAACATGCAATTTTTTAAAAGATGGCAACTTCAAAAAGACCTTGTTTCCAAGTCCATAGCCTCATTACAAGCATTTGGTGTGGAGGTTAAAGGAGTCAAGCGAGGACAGTTCTGAAGGAAGGACATAGTGCTGGGGTTCAGACACAAAGCAGGAGAGTACTCCAGAACCAGATCACTCAGGACCTTACAATCCATTTTAAGGATTTTTGTTATTAATACTGAGATTGGTGAGAGCTGTGGATGGATTTAAAGCTAGAGAGGGGCATCAGGCATGTACTTGGCTAAGAAGGCACTGAGCTGTCATCTTGGTGAATGGGTAGGGCCAAAGAGAAGGCAGAAGACCATACAGGCAAGTGTTATAATCCAGGCAAGAAATCCAGGCTGAGCGAAAGCACCAGTCAAAGGAAGAGGGAAGAACAGAGTTGAGAATCTTACTACGGAAGGCTTTAGATTCAGAGGGAGTCAGGTGTATGTGGCCCACCCCTCTCACTCCAGCAATTTGGGAAGATCACAAGTTTAAACAGCCTGGACAATTTAGGGAAACCCTGTCTCAAAGTAAAAAATAAAAGTGGCAGGAGATAAAGCTCAGTATGAGAGCCCTGAGCTCAATCCCCAGTAACCTCCCATCAATCGGTCAATCAATCACAGGGGTAAGGGTTTCTAGCTTGGGTCACTGGGATTCAGTGTTCGTGGGGAAAGGAGATCAATGCCAGTTAGGAGTGGCTGACTTTAGATTCCAGTGGATTAGTCAGGGGGAGACACCTGCGAGATAGGTGGATAAACACTTTCAGAAAGCAGCAGGGCTCTGGGCTTTAGAGGACATGCACATATAGGTAGGACTTGAAGCCCCAGAGAACACTGGCTCCTGGGGCAGTGGCTCCCCACCCTCCAAGGGACACTGGGCAGTAAATTGTCCAGCCCAGGCTCTGCATCTTGAAGAAAGAATTCTTCCGCCAGGCTGTGGTGTGCCCCTGTAACCGCAGCCTTCCAGGAGGTGAGGCAGGAAGATCAGAATCAGGAATTCAAACGCAGCCCGGGCAATTTAGCAATATATGAAGAGCCTATCTCAAAATAAAAAATAAAAAGGGACGGGGGTATAACTCAGTGTGAAAAGCCTGGGTTCGATCCCCAGTACCCCAAAACAAACATGTTAATTGTATTTATATTTAAGTAATGTTTGGCTCTATAACATGCAATTTTTTAAAAGATGGCAACTTCAAAAAGACCTTGTTTCCAAGTCCATAGCCTCATTACAAGCATTTGGTGTGGAGGTTAAAGGAGTCAAGCGAGGACAGTTCTGAAGGAAGGACATAGTGCTGGGGTTCAGACACAAAGCAGGAGAGTACTCCAGAACCAGATCACTCAGGACCTTACAATCCATTTTAAGGATTTTTGTTATTAATACTGAGATTGGTGAGAGCTGTGGATGGATTTAAAGCTAGAGAGGGGCATCAGGCATGTACTTGGCTAAGAAGGCACTGAGCTGTCATCTTGGTGAATGGGTAGGGCCAAAGAGAAGGCAGAAGACCATACAGGCAAGTGTTATAATCCAGGCAAGAAATCCAGGCTGAGCGAAAGCACCAGTCAAAGGAAGAGGGAAGAACAGAGTTGAGAATCTTACTACGGAAGGCTTTAGATTCAGAGGGAGTCAGGTGTATGTGGCCCACCCCTCTCACTCCAGCAATTTGGGAAGATCACAAGTTTAAACAGCCTGGACAATTTAGGGAAACCCTGTCTCAAAGTAAAAAATAAAAGTGGCAGGAGATAAAGCTCAGTATGAGAGCCCTGAGCTCAATCCCCAGTAACCTCCCATCAATCGGTCAATCAATCACAGGGGTAAGGGTTTCTAGCTTGGGTCACTGGGATTCAGTGTTCGTGGGGAAAGGAGATCAATGCCAGTTAGGAGTGGCTGACTTTAGATTCCAGTGGATTAGTCAGGGGGAGACACCTGCGAGATAGGTGGATAAACACTTTCAGAAAGCAGCAGGGCTCTGGGCTTTAGAGGACATGCACATATAGGTAGGACTTGAAGCCCCAGAGAACACTGGCTCCTGGGGCAGTGGCTCCCCACCCTCCAAGGGACACTGGGCAGTAAATTGTCCAGCCCTCCAGGTCAAAATCAAAAAAATCTGAAGTAGTGCGTGTTAAGAATGAGAAGAGCTAAAGATGAAACCCAGGCTTTTAAAAGGTGGGCAGAGAAGCAGGCACTTCAAAGCCTGAAGGGGGTTGCTGGAGAGAAGGCCCACTAGGAGGGAGCTCGTTCAGCTTGCAGTGATGAACTGAGTGCATTCTAGAGGAATGCCTTACAGAATAGCCACCAAGCAAGAGAACGGTGATGGCAGGTAGGCACGAATAGGCTGATCAGAGCTGGCATTTTTGATCTCTAGTTTCCAAGGCTGATTATTTCCCAGCTGCCTCTTATTTTAGAGAAATATGATAACACCATGGCCCCATCGGGTAAGCAAAGAGCTCTCCAGAAGAGGACTCTTGACTCCCCATCACCCATGTGTAAAGGACATGCAACCAGGGAATATCAGAGAGGCCCCTGAAGTCTGGTGTCTTGGGACTGGCAAAAAACAAAGGCAGAAATCCAAACTGGCTGCTGAAGTCTGAGCTCCTTTTAAGTCTGCCCTCTTCGAAACAACTCATAAAAAAGGGGCAGGGAGGTCCACCCTTTGCTTGCTCCCCTGATAGGAACTCATGCTGAAAGTGTCTGTCGTGAAGCAAAGGCTTTTGACTCCTAGGATTTGCCTGCTGGAAATGACCCAATTTTTCACCAACATCGCTTTGCTTACCCGATAGTTTCCTTGCTCAGTATGGTATCTTTGTGACTTTAAATGCATTCTATAGGAAACCAGAATACCTTTCTCCACGGGACTGGATTGTCCCCAGAGAGATCAGAACTCCACTGGTGAATTCTGAAATGTTTGTCCTTTTAGCTTAACCAGTTTAACTCATACTCCTTAAAAAAAACAAAAAAACAAAAAAACATTTGAAATGCTTAGCTCCGTGCCTGGGCCATTGTAGAGGCCCAATAAATGTCAGTAATATTTATTTTCCCAGCTATTTTAGTCCTCCTTCTTGGTCAAGGTCAAACTAAGCTAATTTTGTGGGCCTGAGCTTGGGAGGGAAAAAAACGCCTCAAACCTAGATTTCAAACTGAACTATGGTTTTAAAGATTACTGTTCAGAGAACATATTTCCCATTGCTAATGCCCTAAGCAGATATACACCAGAAGTCTTACTGATTACTAATTGATGTATACTAGCAACAAGTAAGTGTCCCTTTTTTGTGGGTAGTGAGTGGGTCCAGCAGCTGGGTCTTAGCTCTACCTGATGCAAATAAGATAGAAGACAAAACGAAACAAACATAAACTCTTCCCATGGGACACAGCTTCCTCCTCAAATGATCACCTCCAAGTACAGCAGAGATCAACATTCGTACTTCCAGTTACTCGAGAGGCTGAGGCAGGAGGACCACCAAGTTCAAAGTCATCCTAGCAACAACACTGTCTCAAAATGAAAAAACAAACAGAGCTTGGGAGGTAGCTCTGGGATAAAATGCCCCTAGGTTCGATCTCCCAGCCTAAAAAATTAGGCTATAAGGATGAAGATCACTGGACACGAAGACTTGCCAGAAGACCTCTCTCAAGCTAGAAGATGCTTTGGTGGCTCTGAGCCGTCCTGTGAAGTTCCTGGTGCAGACACAACCTAAGTGCGATTCTGGAAAAGTCTGAGACAGAGCGAATGTTCACCGCCACTGCCGCTGCCACAAATACAACAAAAAGAAAACAAGCTGCACAGAACTAGGGCGCGTGGGGTGGTTTATATAAAGTGTGCCTCTGTAGGAGAGTCGCCTGCTGTCTCCCTCACAGACTGTCCCTGCTCGGTGCGTCTTACGCCCCCTACTGGACAAAGCAAAACGGGTATCCAAAGTGGAGGGCCGCGGTGCTTCCCATCCCCCACCCCAAGACTTTGGGGAAGAATCCGAGGCTGAGGAAGCAAAGAGCGCCTTTCTTTCTTTTGCATTTCTCGCTTGCACCCTCCCGTAGCTTCCAGAAGGACTAGCCAGATGCTCTTTTTCTCTTGATCTTAAGAAAAAGGATGGACTTCAGTACTATGCAAAGCCGGGAGACGATGATGTCAGCGCTTCTGCACGGAGG